GGCGCGTCGGATTCGCGGCGATATGGCTAGGTGTCGCTTCGGAAGGGCCCAGGCCTGGCTGGAGCTCCTATTGTCCCCCTACTCACCCCTCCCCACCATCCAGCCCCCAGCTTTTGAGACCCTCCCGAAAATCGGATCCGAAAGGAGTTTAATCTAGGGGCAGGTTTCAGAACGTCAGAGCTGTGAGGCCTTCGGCGAGTACAAGCCCAGACCTTCCTTGCCAACACGGGGAAACTGAGACCCAGAGGGAGCAGAATCGCCCACGCTGATCCAGGGCGTTGAGAATGAGCCGGACCTCGGACACCCAGCCCCTGGCCTTCCTCCTGGCCGCGTGCCCCTGCCCGCGGAGATGGCCTGAAAGAGGGCGGTGGGGTGTCTCCGGCAAGGGGGTGGACCCCGCTATTGCCTCTCTGACCAGGCGGGTCTTCAAGGTCCATGGTTTTCTTCACTGCCCCTGCCCACGCTGGCATACTTTAAGATAACTGCTGGACGACAACGAAGGGAGACAGTGCTTTTCACCTTCCCATCCGGCTGCTTTGTCAATCTGAACCCGTGAGCCCTGGAACGGTGCTGAAAGCCTACCAAAAGTCCCCAGTTGCTCAGTGGAGTTTGGGCAGGAATGACAGATCTTAGCTTGCCTTTGCAGCTCACTCGGTATGTGAGCATAAACATGGGTCTTCATAGCTGCATTTTTTTAGATAAGAAATGAAGGCTGTTAGCAAATAAGTAAAGCCCAGTAACTTATTCAAAGTCGTGTTGGGAGTTGGGTAGAGTCAGGATTAATCTTATCTTCAGGCTCCAGGCCTCCTGGCCTGACCACTTGGGCAGTGCTGGCTAAAAGCAGTCCCACCGGCTTGTGAGGCTTCAAAGATCCCAATCACACCCCCAAGAGCCTGACTGGGGTCACGTGGTATTTAGCACTTTCCTCCAAGGAGCCTGGTGGCTCTGGGCCCCGTGGTTACCCAGAGGTATTCACAGATTTCATGTTTTAGCAGCCTCTTCCAGGAGCCAACCGGTGAGCCTGAGGCCCCTGGGTAGAGTCACAAACATCTCCCATGTCAATTTCTCTTGGGTTTCACAAGGTGCCTTGACACACATCCTGAGACAACACAAAGGAAGAAACAGGAGCCTGATAGAATCAGCCCTACCAGTTGAGCAAGTCTGCCTGTGGCAACTTAGTGGACAGCATTAATCACCCTGGGACTGGGAGAGAGGAGGCCACCAGGATTTTTGCAGGGGGTGGCAGTGAGGGAAACACCAGGTTGAGGCTTGCTCAATTCTGTGTCCACTTCTGGGCATTTCAGTAAACAAAAGACCCTCTTGAGCAGATGATAGAGGTGAAAGGGCACTTGGCCCCTTATCAAGAAATGAACAGCCCAAGGAAGGAGGGTGTTGGTTAGGGGACTGCCTCAAAACTGGAAGCGGGAGAGTGTTGCCTGAAAAGTTTCTCAGAAAAATGCTTAAGAGCACAGGGTTTGGAATCCCAGAATCCTCTGTGGAAATCGGTGCCCCACCTAGCCAACTGGGTGACCTTAGGTAAGTTGCTTTCTCTCTCTCGTGCCTTGATTTACTCATCTGTAAAATGGGGTAATGCCTGTGACCTCACAAGATTGTTGTATTAACTGAAAGTAAACCAATGAAATATAGCACAGCCACTGTCGCGTCTTGTCCTTCAGAAATGGTAGCTCCATGTAGACCTAGGACAAGTGGAATTGGGCTTTGGCAGACAGCTTCTGATTCCCACACCTTTTTTTTTTTTGTAAAGGCTTTTGCCTTAGGGTGTATGTATTTGCTGGAGAGAGAGAGACAGAGACAGAGACAGTGGGAGAGAATATAAGAAATCACCCCCGGGGACGGGGGGGTGGCCACACCACAATGCCTTCTCCTTCATTCTCCTGGGATCTTGGTCACACACATGTATGTGCCTGGTACGAGTTTCAAGCTACCAGGTCTGGGACTCGAACTGCGGTTGGCTATTTAAGTCCAGTGATATACTGCTATGCCATCTGCTGGCCCACAACCCCATTTTAACAAGGACCTTTGTCATTAAGAATTGAGGTTTTAGAGACTGTTCGGTCCAATCCCTCCTACTCACTAGGTGTCATGAGAATGAGTGATCTTACCTCTAAACTTGAGTTTCTGTATCTGTCAAGAAGGGTTATCAAAATAGTATCTACCCGGGCCAGCAGGTGGTGTGGTAGTTAAGGTGCTGGACACTACCACATGGCTGACCATGGTTTGAGTCCCAAGCCTGGTGGCTTGCTTTCTCACCTTCTCTCCCTCTCTGGTCAAATCAAAATAAATGAATGAATAAATGAAAATAAATAAATAGTTCTTTAAAAACATAGTATCTACCTCATGAGTCTGTTGTGACAGGTAAACAATATAATGTGTATGAAGTATTAACAGTGCCTGGCACATAGGAAGCACTGAAATACCAATATTGGCAAACTCCCCATCTAAATCAGAGTGTTCAACCGCTGAATGTCCTGCATATTTTAGAAAAAATAACTTCTTTGGGAGGAGGACAAAGTATCCCCTTGATCCCTCTTCCCCACTAGCTCTGGGATCCTGTTAAAGAATTATACAGCTTACTGACTTTTTAAATTTACTTTAAGGGACCCATTTTATAAGTTCTTTTTTAAAAAATAATTATATTATCAAACTTTAATTTTTTGCTTATTTTTTAATTTGACCAGAGAGAGACAGAGAAAAAGAGAGAAAGTGATAAAGTAAGCCACTAGGTCTGCAACCTGAACTGTGGTAGACCATGTGGGAGTCCAGCAGCCCCAACTACCACACCAGCTGCTGGCCCCAAGGACCCATTTTATAAGTTTTATAGAAGAGCCCAGAGACCCCGAAAGGTTAGGAATGCTCATAGTCAAGCATCTAGTTGTGACACGTGTCTGGAGAGCCTTCTGTAAAAAATAGATTCACTGTCCATTAATATTTTTCTGGGCCAACAGATGGCATGGTGGTTAAGGCACTGAATTCCACATGGCCAGTGCTGTGGTTTAAGTCCTGGGCCCAGCAGCTTGAAAAATGTGCTGAGCACATGTATGTGGGTACCTGAAATCCCAAGAGGAGAATGGAAGAGAAGGGATTGCCGCGTAGCCGTACCCCTGTGAGGGATGATTTCTCACTTTCCTCTCTTTGTTTCTGTCTCTCCAGCGAGCACAAATACCCTATGGCAAAAATGTTAAAAAGAAAAAAAAAAGGATTTTCCATTAACCTTAAATTTGTTTTTGCAACTGACACATGGAGGAGGAGGAGTACTGACTAGTAATGTTTGCCATCCAGAAGCCACCTCCCGGCCTCTGACCTCTGTACCATGGAGGATGAAAGGAGACCTATTCCCTGCAGTGAGCAGCAGAAAGCCTCACATGTCTGTTGACCTTAGGTCCTATGGCAACAAAAAATTATGTTTCTTAACAGAGTATTCCCACACGCAGAGTTCTGCTGAGAGTCAGGTTTATGGGTGGTGGCAGTGCACTTTACTATTCAAGAACCAGCAAGATTTCCCTGGAGCAGAAAAAGCCTGCGTTCACATCTCAGTACTTGCAGAGGTGGTGAGTACTTACCACCTGACTGGGCAGCTCAGTGAACTTCTGAGAACTTCACTTCCCTCCTCCTAGTTCTCTTTCTAGGCTGAGGGAGGACTAGCTTAGATACTGTATCAAGAGAATTTGACATACAGTAGCATTCAGTAGATTTAGCTCTTATGCTGATCTTGCAGACCCTTCAAAGCTTTGACTCTGAGGGTCATGCAATGGCTCAGAGGTGAAACGTGACACTGTGAGGCAATCCCACATAACAAGTATCCTGGTTCAAGTCCAGAGACCTCCCTGAGTTTGCTGGGCACATGCTTGTTCATGACTCAGGGCTGGCCGAAGGCCGGGGTGGATCACAGTGTCAGGATCCTCTTGGGGGTACTGCCTCTCTGTCTCTGTTACTCATGGAAGAAATGAATAAATAAACTTTTTTAAAAGCTGTGGCTCTGTGGCCAGCAGATGGTATAGTGGTTACGTGGCTGGACTCACACATGGCCAGCCACAGTTCAAGTCCTGGACCCAATGGCTTCAAATTCATGCCAGGTATATGTGCATGTATGCCCAAGATCCAAGGAGGAGAATGGAACAGAAAGGATTGCCGGCCATTCTCCCAAGGGGTGATTTCTCACTTTCTCTCACTGTGTCTGTCTCTCTCTGGCAAGCACACATGCCCTAAAGCAGAAAAACCTTAAAAACAAAAACGAACAAACAAACCAAAACTTGTGGCTCTGGGGAAAACCTTAAAAACAAAAACAAACAAACAAACCAAAACTTGTGGCTCTGGGATCAGCAGATAGCCTAGTGGTTATGTCACTGAACTCCCACATGACCAACCATGGTTTGAGCCCCGGACCTCGTGGCTTGAAACTTGTGCTAGCTATGTGTGCATGTGTGCCCAATATCCCAGGAAGAGATTGGAGGAGAAGGGATTGTGGCATGGCCATCCCCCCAGGGAGGTGATTTCTCACTCCCTCTTACTGATTCCATCTCTCTCTCCCGGGCAGGTGCACATGCTCTAAGACAAAAAAGACTTCTTTTTTTTTTTTTTTAATAATTATTTTATTTAACTTTATTTATTTGTTTGTTTGTTTGTTTTAATTTGACCAGAAAGTGAGAGAGAGAGAGAGAGAGAGGAAAAGTGAGAAAGCAAGCCTCCAGGTAAGGGACTCAAACCATGGTTGGCCATGTGGAAGTCCAGCGCCCTTAATCACGACACCACCTGCCAGCCCCAGGCAGACTTCTTTAAAAAAAAAAAAAAAGAAAGCTATGGTTCAGTCTACAGGTACAAATTATTTATGAATCTTGATTATTTTCTAGTTATTCTAGAGTAGTACTTGGCCAACATTTTCTTGAAGGGCCAGATAGTTGGGAACCAGCAGTTGGCGTAATGGCTATGTCGCTGGACTCCCACGTAGTCAACCACAGTTCGCGTCCCAGACCCGGTGGCTTAAAACTCACGCCGGGCGTGTGTGCGTGCGTGCCCAAGATCCCGAGAGGAGAATGGAAGAGAAGGGATTGCGGCGTGACCATCCCCGCTGGGGGGTGATTTCTCACTTTCTGTCTCTATGTCTCTCTCTGTCTGTCTGGCGAGCGCACGCGCCCTATAGCGAAAACCTCTCCAAAAAAAAAAAAAAAAGTAAAGGGCCAGATAGTAAATACTTTAGGTTTCATGAGCCATGAATCATGAATCATATGGTTGGTTACAGCTACTCACCTCTGCCACTGTAGTACAACAGTAAACAAATGAGCTTGGCTGTGTTCCAACAAAATTAAGTTTATTTGATATTATGTATTCTTATTCTTATTTTAGTTTGCTATAGGATACATGCACTCACCAGAGACAGAGAAAGAAAAAGAGAAGGAAAGCAAGAAAGCGAGCTGCTGGGTTCAGGACGCAAACTATGGTCAGCCATGTGGGAGTCCAGCGCTTTAACCGCTACACCACCGGCTTTCCCCCAACAAAACTTTAATTTGTGGGACTGGCAGATGGCGTGCTGGTTAAGGCACTGGACTCCCACATGGCTGACCACAGTTCAAGTCCATGCCTGGTGGCTTGCTTTCTGACTTTCTCTCTCTCCCTCTGTCTCTCTCTGATCAACTTAAAAATAATAATAAACAAAAATAAATACTTCTTTTTTTAAAAAAAAAAAAACACCTTTTATTTGTAAAACTGGATTGCAGGCAGGCTATAAGTTGCTGATCCATGTTCTAGAGCATCATCTCTCACTATAATATGGGCAGGACTGACTTTGGTGTCTTGTTAAGATAAGAATTTTGGGGAACCAGCAGTTAGCGTAATGGCTATGTCGCTGGACTCCCACGTAGTCGACCGCAGTTCGTGTCCCGGACCCGGTGGCTTAAAACTCACGCCGGGCGCGTGTGCATGCGTGCCCAAGATCCCGAGAGGAGAATGGAGGAGAAGGGATTGCGGCGTGACCATCCCCGCTGGGGGGTGATTTCTCGCTTTCTGTCTCTATGTCTCTCTCTGTCTGTCTGGTGAGTGCACGTGCCCTACAGTGAAAATCTCTAAAAAAAAAAAAAAAAAAGATAAGAATTTTGATTGAGGAGGTATGAGATGGAACCTGAGAGTCTCTATTTCTGACAAGCCCTCAGGTGATGCTGACACATTTATTTATTTATTTAATAAAGAATTACTTTTATTTAACTTAACTTATTTTTATTATTATTGTTGTTATCATTATTATTATTACTTGACCAGAGAGAGAGAGGAAAAGTGAGAAAGCAAGCTACTAGGTCTGGGACTTGAACCATGGTCTGCCATTTGGGAGTCCAGCACCCCCAACCACCACGCCACCTGCCTGCCCCTGAGGACCACACTTTAAAGAAAAGATTTTGGAATACCCACTGCAAATTCTTCTTTCCAGAATGGTCATGAAATAAGCAGAAGTAATCAGAGGTGTTTAGATAGAGGAAAAGAAAAATAGACCATTTTCTTTAAGACGGACTTTGCAGATTTGCCTTCAGTAAAAATACTGGTTTACTGATCTTGGAGAGTAAACAGTCCGGCAGTCTAGCTGCTTAACTCTTGGTCTCAGTTTCCTCTGTAGATCCTGATGGTAGATCGAGATCCAAGGGTGTTTAAAGATTTGGAAAGCGTTTGAGAAGCCACTTAGCCCTGTTTTTCTCGGGTGTATAGTTTGCCTCCCTGATTCTTCTCAGGAGGTTAAACATGGAGAGTCCCAGATCCACAAGGCCAAGTGGGGCAGGTGCCTGGAGAGATGCACTTTCCACAGTCTCCCCAGGTGGTTCTTACCCACACTGAAGTTGAGAAAATTGAGTCCGCTGATAAATTTGGTGTAGGTAAGGGAACTGACACTTTTCTGGAGCCAGGATTTTGTCTGAGGTCCTCCAGCAAGATATATTATTCTATTAAGAATTCTAGTTGAGGTAATAGGTTTGAAATATTTTGAACTGCTCCATGAAAAAGGTAGTTACTATTTTTTGATGGGAAAGGGAAGAGAGACATAAAGAAAATGAGCATAATAACAATCCAGGATTCCACTTTTTAACCCAGTGGAATCCACAGCTAGCTCTAATCTCCTTACCTAATGTATTAGTTTTCGATTGCCCCTTAGTAATGTAGTTTAAAATAGCAAACATTTATTCATACAGTTCCTGAGAGTCAGGAATCTGGGAGCCATTGAGCTGAGTGGTTCTGGCTTAGGGGGGGGCCTCATGAAGTTGCAAGGAGGTTGGCTGGAGCTGCATCATCTGAAGGCTGGACGGGGGCTGGAAAATCCACTCGTTGTTAGCTGAAAGATTCAGTTCTTCATAATGTGGACCTCCGTGTGGCTGCTTGAATGTCCTTACGATGTGGCATCTGGCTTCCGCTTCCATTAGATTGAGTGATTCCAGAAAAAGCAAGGCACGGTGTCTTTTATGACATTACAATAGCCACAGCAGTCACACAACATCGCTTCAGCTATTAGGGACCAACCATGGGACATTCCAGAATGGTACTACCTGAGGGCATAAGTACCAGCAGGCAGAGATCATTGAGGCCATCTTGGATGCTGGCTGCCACCCTTGAAATCCTATACTCATCCATTCATCAGTCTGGAGTGGGACTCTTACCCCTGCTTTGTAGATGTGGAAACCAAGGTACAGAAGATAAGTAACTAACTAATGGTCACACAGCTGGTAAGTGCCAGAGCTGGTATCGGATGCCAGATCTTTCTGATCCCAGATGTTTCTCAATTCCAGAGATTTTAAAATAAGGAGAGTATTGATAAAAGCAATGCTCATTTAAGAGCAAAGAAAAGGACTCAGAAGTCCTCAGCCAGTCATATCGTTTGTCCATTTACTCAACAAAATGTGTTATGCACCTACCCTGTGCCAGGCACTATTGTAAGTGTTGGGGATACAATAGTGAACTGAACAAAACCCCATCTTCTGGGAGCTTGCCTTGTTAGGTATCCTGGAGACTATAGAACATAGAGCCCACAGAAAGTCAAAGGCCTGGGATCCCTTCCTGGCCAGCCTCCAGCTCACTGGGGAGCCTAGGCAAATAAAAAAAACCCGGAGGCTGCCTTTGAGAATGCAGTGCTTAGATGAAGACAGTGTCTCCATATGTCAGAATCACCTGGGATGCTTTCAAGACATAATAGATGTCCCAGCCCAGCCTTGTTGATCAGAATCTGTAGTTTTTATAAGCTTCTGGGTGACTTTCATGCAGGAAATAATTTTCTTTTTTATAAGCTTCTTTCTTCTGTAAGAGGAGGGATGTGCATCCAGTAGGATCCTCATGCTGTGATCCACGCCCAGTCTCAGCCCAGCCCAGGTAACAGTTGCACGTGCATGTGCCTGGTGTGTCAGGAAGTCAGGGCCTTCCCATGGCATCCAGCATTGCAGAGTGTTGTCATACTGCTGTGCCACCAGAGCTGGGCCTCTTGCAGAAATAATTTTCTGATGTGTAAATAGGCTTACCACATCAGCATTGCTCAGGGTAGGGGATCCATTTGTGTTAGTTATTGGCAGTCCTGAGACAAAAGACCCATAACTCAAGAACTAGTATTTTGAAGATAAGAGTAGGGGAAACAAATAATTTAGGGATTAGCAGGTGGTATGGTGGTTAAGGCATTGGATTCCCGCATGACTGACCATGGTTCTAGTCCTGGACCCCATGGCTAGAAACTCATGCCAGGCGCATGTGTGTGCAAAATCCCAAGAAAAGATTAAAGGAGAAGAGATTGCAGTGTAACTGTGACCACCCCGTGGTGGTGGTGGGGGGAAGTGGCATTTCTCACTTTCCCTCTTCTTGTCTGTCTCTGGTGAGTGCATACATCCTATGGCAAAAACCTAAGAAACAAGCAAAAAAAATTTAAACTAGCTCTCTAAGTGATTCTACTCATTGTGTGTGAACACTGCTAAAGGTTCTATAGGGATTATCTCATTTAATATAACCCATGAGATACAGAAATTCCTCATTACTCCACTTTACAATTGAAGAGTCTGGGCCATAGAAATAGGTTCCTGATGAACCTGATGCCAGCCAGCTCTTGCCCTGTCTTTCTGTCCTCTGACTTGCGAGTCTGCAGGCCTTGTCTCATTTGTTTGTTTCCCTTTGTTGTTTCAGAAGCACGAGTTCTCCGTGGACATGACCTGTGAAGGCTGTGCTGACGCAGTCTCGCGGGTGCTCAACAAGCTGGGAGGTGAGCAATGAGCCCAGATGGAGTGGGATGGGGGGACCAATGCACAGACACCATGTTCAGATGCACGCAGATATAGCTGAAGCAGCCTTAGTTTAAGCTGATAGTGAAACCAAAGCTGAGTATTGAGCTTGTGTCAAGTACTTGTCTTAGTGGCTTATGTTGAGCACATCATTAATCCTCACTACAACTTTTTTAGATGGTTTCTTTGACCATCCTCATTTTTTTCTCTTTTTTTTTAGAGAGGTTTTTGTTATAGGGTGTGTACGCTCGCAGAGAGACAGAAAGCAAGAAATCACCCTCCAGGGGGAATGGCCATGCCACAATCCCTTCTCCTCCATTCTCCTCTCAGGATCTTGGGCACGCACGCACACGCGCCTGGTGTGAGTTTAAGCTACTAGGTCCAGGACTCGAACCACGGTTGACTACATAAGAGTCCAGCGAGATAGCCATTACGCTAACTGCTGGTCCCAACCATCCTCATTTTTAAAAGGAAGGAGTGGGGCCAGCGGATGGTGTGGTTGGGATGCTGGATTTCACATGGCTGACCACGGTTGAATCCTGGACTTGGCAACATGCTTTCTCTCTCTCTCTTTCTCTCTCTCTCTCTCTCTGGTGAGCACACATTGCTCAAGACAAATTTTTAAAAATAATAATAAAATAAAATGAAATTTAAAAAAAAATAATAATAAATAAAATAAAATAAATAATTCTTTTTTAAAAATGTTAAAAAATAAATAAATAAATAGATAAATAAAGTTAAATAAAATAATTCTTTAATAAATAAATAAAATGAAATAATTATCTTTTTTTAGACAGTTTTTTGCCATAGAGTACATATGCTTGCCAGAGAGGCAGAGAGAGGGAAAGTGAGAAATCATCCTCCCGCCCACCCCCCGGGGGAGATGGCCGTGCCACAGTCCCTTCTCCATTCTTTTCTTGGGATTTTGGGAATGCACACACATGTGTCCGACATGAGCTTCAAGCTACCGGGTCTAGGACTTGAATCACAGTCAGCCATGTGGGAGTCTAGCACCTTAACTACTACACAAGCTGCTGGTCCCAAATAAATAATAATTTTTTTAAGAAAAGAAAAGAAGTAAAATTTAGAGAGGTTAAGTAACTGGACTAGGATCACATGACCAATTAAGTGGCAGGTCTGGGATTTGTCTGTATCATTTAGCTCTAGAGCTTTGGCAATACTAATTAATATATTGGTGATTGCTATTATGATAACTTGTTGCTATATGATACATTTGAGTGTTATTTTTTGGTGAAGTTTTTTTTTATCATTAATTTGACCAGAGAGAGGGAAAATGAGAAAGCAAGCTGCCAGGTCTGAGACTCAAACTGTGGTCAGTCATGTGGGAGTCCAGCACCTTAACCATCATGCTGCCTGCCTGCCACAATGGTAGCAGTTTTAAAAATAAAATTTAAACCAGTTATATGCAGAGCCCTTATGGACATGTCCTCTTCTGTACATATTTAGAAAATCATAATTCTCATTCTGCCTCCTCATTTTATAGCTGGGGAGATTGAGGCCCCAGAGAGGGCCACTAGATCACGTGGATGTGATCTAGTCCTCTGAGCTGCTCTTTCCATCTGTGGAACGGGGATATTGAAGCCAGCATTCAGGAGGGGAAGTTACTTGGCCTGAGTCCATGATTAGCATCTGTCCCTGTGAACTGGGAACTGAATTTGAATAAATCATAAACAGTGGAAAGAACCTGCTGCTCACTCACCACATGACTCTGGGCTCTTCTCCTTCAGGCTTGGGTTTCCCCAGCTGTAGTAGGGACATGTTGGTCTATATCCACTTTTGTTATGGATTCTTGAGAAATGAAACTCTGCAGGGCTGGCAGGTGGCATGGTGTAAAAGTGCTGGAGCCTCACAAGACTTGACTGCGGTTCGTGTCCCGGACCTGGCGGCTTGCTTTCTCAGTTTCTCTCACACACATGCACACTCTCTCATTCTGTCCCTCTCTGGTCAGAGTAAAAAGAAATGAAACTCTGCATGGGAACTCTTCTTATACAAAGCAGGATGCTCTGCATGAGGGAGGACTGTGCCTGCTCTCCTTCTTGAGCACTCAAGTATGCCCTGCCTGAGAACCTGGGTTTCAAGTTGGAAATTCACTGTGTTCATTGATCCCAGGGTTTCCTCCAGCTCTGTGATACCACCAAAATATTTATTCCAAAGAGGAAGGAGACCCTTCTGAACACCTTCCCCCCCAAAAAAAAGTCCAGAATGCAGCCAAGATACATTTTTTCCCCTCCCAGATATTTATTAGGTACAGGTTAAGGGATTATGACTGAACCATGTGATTTTTTTAAGGCCCCTTGACTTGATGTTTAAAGATCTGCCTTTGAGCTTCAGCAGGTTTCTTCCCATCTTTTACTACTATCCCTGCTTGGCTAGCCTCTTTAGAAGGTTCAGAAGGATTTTTGGGGTTGCTCAGCATTCCAGAAGCCACAGACTAATGGTATACTCGAGCAAGAAAGACCATAGGATCTGGCCAGCCCCAGCTCTTTCACGGACAGAGGGGAAAGCTGAGACCATGCTCATGGTCACCTAGCAAGTCAAGAGTGAGGCCAAGCCTCGAACCTGGGCTTTCCCTCTGCATCCCAGTGCCACAGTTAGATTCTTTTTGGGTCCTCTAGTGTGCTGTTGGGGGCTTTAAATTGTCCCAGCTTTTTAGGAGGGCAATTTTGCAATATCTATTAACATTCAAAATGTGCAAATCTGTTGCCCCATGATTTCTATTCTATGAATTCATGATATGGAGATATTTTTATAAGGTTACTATGGCATTATTATGATAGCAGTGAAAACTTAGAAGCAGCCTCAGTGTCCTTCAACAGGAGATTAAGTAAGTAAGTTAGTATATGGTACAGCCACAATATAGATGACTGTGTAGCTATTTAAAAAGAATAAAGTGGGACCAGCAGGTGGCATGGTGGTTAAGGTGGGCTCCCACATGGCCGACTGTGGTTTGAGTCCCAGACTTGGCAGCTTGCTTTCTCACTTTCCCTTTCTCTCTCTCTGTCTCTCTTTGGTGACTGCATGTGCCCTATAGCAAATTAGAAAACTCTACTAAGAAAATTAATTAAATAATTCCATGGGGCCAGTAGATGGCATGGTGGTTAAGAGCACAGGACTCCCACATGGCTGACCAAGTACTGGACCTGGTGGCTTGCGCTCTCTCTCTCTCTCTTTCTCTCTCTCTCTCTCAGACACACACACACACACACGCACACACACACTGTCCCTCTCTGGTCAAATTAAAATAAATAAGTAAATAAAATAAAATAATTCTTTCAGTTTAAATAAATAATTTCTTTAAAAAACAGTGAGGTAGGTCTTTGTGCATTAAGATAGAAAAATAGCCTGGACATTGAAATCAGCAATTTATATAGTATTTATAAAAAGAAGCCCTAATCTAGAGCAGAGATCGACATTATAGCCTTTGGGCCAGATTTAGCCCACAACCTGTTTTGTATGGTTGAGAATAGTTTACTTTTTTTAAGTTTTGCTGCAAATCGCATGTGCTCGCCAGAGACAGACACAGAGAGGGAAAGGAAAAGTGAGAAATCACTCCCCATGGAGAATGGCCATGCTACAATCCCTTCTCCTCCATTTTCCTGTCCAGATTTTGGGTACACACATACACACTTCTGGTGTGATTTTTAAGCTGCCAGGTCCGGGATTCATACAGCACAATCAGCCATGTGGGCTCCAGTAGTCTTAACCTCCACACCACCTGCTGGCCCTGGTTATTACATTTTTAAAGGCAAAAAGCACATGCAGAAAAAATATGTAACAGTCCAGATGTAGCTCACAATGCCTAAAACATTTCATCTCTGTCTCTTTACAGAAAAACCTTGCCCATCTTTGGTTTAGAGGAAAGGGGAGGGTGGTTATGATCATTCAGGAGCCTGAACTCTTCCTTGCCGTAACTGGGAGGGTCTCTGCTTCCTCTCCCCACACCCCATTTCCTCTTCCTGTAGGAGTTAAGCATCACATTGATCTGCCCAACAAGAAGGTTTGCATCGAATCTGACCACAGTGTGGACACTCTGCTGGAGACCTTGAAGAAAACAGGAAAGGCTGTTTCCTACCTCAACACTGAGTAGCAAGGGCTGTGGATTCCTGGCCCACAGGATGGACCAAAGGGGGCAGGTTGGTAAGACTTACAACTTTGAGTAAAGCCACTGTCAACATCTTTTTTTTTTTTTTTTTTTTTTTTTTTTACAAATAAGCAATTTTTTATCCACACGTCATATTTACTTTTCATAAGCAGATACTGTTTTTTTTTTTCTTTTAATATTGTAAAATTGTTAAATGCAAACATGTGATATAGTTTCTAGAGAAACTGAATGGTGTAGCTTCTACCAATTGGGCGGGCCACACTCTTGGAGCCTCGGCGTAAGTGGCTTGGCATGACACCGTTTCTCTGCCGTCCCCCATAGATCTTGGTCATGAAGCCAACCCCAGCACCACCCCGGAGTACAGGTGCCGTGCTGTGGAAGCAGCTCGTGTGTAAAACCAGTTCTCATCGTAGGGAGCAAGTACTTTATGCTTGGCCAGCTTGACAGTGTCCACCCATTCAGGGACTTTCAGCTTTCTGGACTTTTTGAGGAAGGCTGCCAGAGCTCTGACGAACTCCTGCTGGTTCGCGTCTTTTACAGTAACTCCAGGCATCGTGCGGCCTCCACGCTGCCAGACAGGGGAAAGGCCACTGTCAACATCTTTCATCCAAGATACCTTGGCCTTTGGGAGCTTGAGTAGAGCAAGAAAGTACCCAGGTTCATTTTTCACCCACTGTCCACCTTCTTTGGAAAGGATGCAAATATTTCGTTATTGTGTAATGCAGTCACAAGTTCAAGGAATCCTTATAGCCCTCCTGTGAGTAGACAGAGCCTTGTGTAATGTCTCCCAGAGTCCCCTTTTGGACTTTGGAAATGCAATTCATGGTCAGCAGGGTTAAGTTTAGAGTGAATAACCCTGAGCAGTACACCTTTGGCTTTGATAAATTGACTGTCCATGAGAGTTGACACCTACGTCCTGGGCCTCATGCTTCTATGCAGTGACCGAGAGAGTTAACTTAGACCCTGCCTCTGTCTCCATCTGGAACTACCTTTAACTTTCTGAGCAGGCCATTTGGCTAGCCTGGTGCCAAAACAATAACACATCTAAGCTGCTGTTCCCTTCCATTTTACGTAATCCAGGAAGGTAGTAAGTGGCGTTGTGCCAGATCTCCACTCTGGAGCAGGGGCAAACCTTTCTCATTGGTCAGCATTCCTTCCCTCTGCACCTAGCCACAGCCTCAGGGCCCCTCTGGCTATCACCGCCTGTGTAGTGCAGCCAAAGTGATGGCCTGATGTGGTTCAGCACCCTGGCTGTAATTGAGAAAAATGAAACTTGGACAGAGGAAGTGTCTTGACCAGAGCCCCACACACTCAAGTGGCAGAGGCAGGAAGAAAGTTGGGCCTCCTTGGGACCAGCAGTTAGTGTAATGGCTACATTGCTGGACTCCCATGTAGCTGACCATGGTTTGAGTCCCGGACCCGGTGGCTGGGCATGTGTGCATGCATGCCCAAGATCCCGAGAGGAGAATGTAAAAGGGATTGTGGCGCGAGTTAAAAGGGTTGGTGGCGGGGCCCCCCCCCCGGGGGGGGGGGGGGAGGATTTCTCATTTTCTGTCTCTCTCTGTCTTTCTGGCGAGCACATGCACCCTATAGCAAAACCCTCTCCCCCCAAAAAAAGAAAGAAAGTTGGGCCTCCTGAATTGGAGCTCTGTTAGGACTGTTGCTGGTGACTTTGTCCCTGTGCATGGGCCTATGGTGAGCTCCCCAGGCAGAGGCCAGCCCAGCTCTAACTGTAAGTTCAGCCTCCTCTAGGAAGAGGAGGAGAAGCTGAACTCCTTCCTAGAGGAGGCTCCTTCCTTCCATGTGGAACCTGAGCTGTGACAGCATTCTCAGAGCGTGGTGACATCATATGCAAATCACGAGATGCCAGAGTCTCCTGATACCTCATATCCCTCTGGCCATGGACACAAGCCATGTTCAAGAATGAGCCCAGGATGAATAATGAGGTTCTGTGATTCTAATTCCAGCTCTGCCTGCATTTCACACTGACTTTGGGCACTTTTTTTATTCCTGAGGTTTGATCCTCCCTTCTGTGAGATGGAGCTAAAACCTCCACCCTGCTTTTCTGCCTGGGGAGGAGGGGGTTACTGTGCAATTGCTTTGAGTACGAGGGCTTACCCTCTGCAGGAGCAGAGCATTAGCAGTTACCACTGTGCTACAGGACAGCGAGTGTTCTTCACATTGTTCCTGCATCCCTAGGGTTTTGTGGGACAGGTAAGCAGACGGGGCTCCTGACCCGTCTCTCCCAGGCAGCCCTGTATCATACTGGGCCTCCATGTGAGACTGCATTTGACAAAAGTGCTCTGTGACAAGGAGGAATAAAGGCAGGGAAGACAGAAACTTCCTGTGCTGGCTATGTTCATGGAGAGCCCCAGTGCAGATTCCTTGGACTAGAGACTTTTCTCCTAGTAGTTTTTTTTATTACTATTTTTTTTATTGAGGTGGACTTCACATAACATACAATTAATTGTTTTAAAGTGTGCAGGTCAGCGATATTTACGGCAGTTGTAATATAATAGAATCACTACCTCTCTCTAGTTTCAAAACTTTGTCATCACCCCAGAAAAATACCCCATACCCACTAAACCTCCCTCCATCCCCTGGACCCACTGATTTGTTTTCTGCCACTCTGGATTTGCCAGTTCTGGACATTTCATAGAAAAGGAGTTAAGTGTTTCTAGCGTGTTTATCACTTAAAATCATTTTTTCAAGATTCATCCAAGTCATAGTTTGTTTCTGTACCTCATTCTTTTTTTTTTTTTTTTTTTTTGGAGAGGTTTTTGCTACAGGGTGCGTGCGCTCGCCAGACAGACAGAGAGAGACAGAGAGACAGAAAGCGAGAAATCACCCCCCAGGGGGGATGGTCATGCCGCAATCCCTTCTCCTCCATTCTCCTCTTGGGATCTTGGGCACGTACGCACACACGCCCGGCGTGAGTTTTAAGCCACCGGGTCTGGGACGCGAACCACGGTCAACTACGTGGGAGTCCAGTGACATAGCCATTATGCTAACTGCTGGTCCCTGGAGCTCATTTTTTTCTATGGCCGAATAATTAATTCTCAGAGTAGTTTTTAATTTATTTTTGCTTCATAGGAAATTTCAAAGATAAATAAGTAGGGTGATAAAATGAATCCCAAGAACCCATCACCTGGAGCTAATAGTGATTAGGCATTTGCCATTATTATCTCTTCTCTGGCTCCCTTCTTAACTCTGACTTATTTTGAAGCACATTCTAGATACATAACTTTATCTGCATATTTTTCACTAACCATGTGTAGTATGAAAAGCTTCCAGAAATTCAAATGCACTGTATCTGGTAAGCACCCCCAAACAGGCAAGCTTTAGCCCAAGCGTCTTTCTTTGAAGTCTGTTTAAGAGGTTCTCCAGTGACCAATTTGAAGCCAGACTTGGGAACCAAAGGTATTGTTTATTGGTTATGAAGTTGTCTTGGTCGTCTGGCTCCTGGCAGGTTTGTTTGCCCATGATGTTTTTATTATCTTCCCAGCAGAGACTCAGTAGAACAGGGAAGGCTGTTAGCTGGGTATCCCAGCAGCCTCAGAAGCTCCTCAGAAGAGGGCCTCAGTGACAATTGGCTTAGCAAGATTAATGGATTCCAGCCAACTGAGTGGAACAGACTGGTGGGAACGGTGTGAGACTAGACAGGGGTTCTAGGCCTGCTCCTGCACCCAGGGTTTTCTTCTTGACCTCATCACTGCCTCTCACTACTGCTTTTGCAATCTCACCATGTCACAGTAGATGGCGCCTTCGTCCCATCTAACTTTTCATTTCTCCTAGGCTGCTGATCCTGTCCTGGCTTCCAGTCGAACATGAGTCCTGACAGTCGTGCTCAATGGTGGAAGCCCCGCCTGAGATCCTCACTTACCCTGTTCCTTCCTAGCTTCCCTGCAATAAAGTCGAACTGCTTTTGTGGGAGATGTTGTGTCTTGCATAGTCTGGATGTCACTCGTTCACATGTCTGCTTACAGATATCAGAGTTTCAACAGCTCCCGACTGAGTCAGACACCCTGCGGCACCATCCCATTAGCCATCAGGAGGAGATGAAGTCATTCTAATCCTGGAAATATTCACTGTATAATTGTTAAGAGAAAGGAGAAGGCATTTATGGGAGTAGTTTTTACTTTGTATAGGTATTTTTTATTATTTTATTTATTTTTTGTCATCCAGTGCATCATGCACTTGCTGGGGGAGGTGGAGGAGAAAGTGAGAAATCACCCCGCCAGGGGAGGGTGACTAAGTCCCGTCTCCTCCATTCTCATCTTGGGATTTTTGGGCATACATGCATATGCCTGGCATGTTTTTTGTGTCACTGGGTCCGGGACTCAAACCGTGAAGTCGGCTGTATGGGAAGTCCACCACCTTAACCACCACACCATCGGCTGGCCCTAATGTTCTCTCTCAAAGGGTCCGGAGGGCTACAAATTGAGCATCACCACTTTAACCATTTATTAGGCATTTACTGGAGACCCAATAGAGCTAGACCCCGGGATAAGGCCTCGCTCTGCCCTTGGCTAGCCATGAATGTGCAGAAAACCTGCACCTTAGAGAACGTAGTAGCCAGGACTCCCAGGTAGACCATGGTTTGAGTCCCAGACTTGGTAACTTAAATTCACACTGGGCACATGTGCGAGTGTGCTTGTCCAGGATCCTGAGAAGAGACTGGAGGAGAAGGGATTGCATCCCCCTTGGGGGGTGATTTCTTGCCGTCTCTGTTTCTTTCTGCCGAGTGCACATGCCCAATAGCAAAAACCTCTCAAAAAAAAAAAACCAAAAAAAAAAAAAACGTTGTAGCCAGTAATAAAATGGCGTGCCTGCATAATGTTGGTCCTGCTATGACAGTACTAAGCCTCAGTCATTTCTGCCTTTGTGGTCCCTGGGGACACAGGGTTTCCTTTCCCTATGTGTGAGTTTCTTAGCCACAAGAGGATAGGTTCTTTGGATTTGACTGTCCACAGAAGAATTTTTGTGGGCTTTGGGAGGACAAATTTTAGAATTTTTTCCATTTTTAGTTTCCCCAAGAGACCTTGTTCAGTCTGACCAGCCCATCAGGTACTCCCAAGAGTTGAGACCCTGGTGTCCTAGGGAGAGTAGTCCTCCACAAAGTTCATTTCCTTTGACTCCTCTGTACCCACCACCCGCAAATGGGTTCCAGGTTTCCAGCTGGGGCCTTTGGTTCTGTTGTCAGAGGCCCCGAAAGGATTAAGGAAGCTCCTGTGCCTGCCAGCAGCCCAGTGGACTGTGGAACAGATGAGATCATGCAGTAATGAAGCACATGGGCTCCTGCAGGGGTTGGGGTTGCGAGATTCCTCTAGCACCTGGCCCCAGCCCACCTTCCCAGGCTTTCCCCTTCTCACTACAGCCACACTGCTTCCAAGGAGTCTTCCAGGTGTCTTGTGTTTTTTTGTTCCTGTCACCCCCTATAAATGGAAAAAAAATCTCCATCAGCCTCCCTACTACTTCCTTGTCTCCATGCACAAATTCCTCTCCCTCCCTTATATACCGCAGCCTCCACAAACCACAGCTGGAAGTCATTATTTTTCCTCTTGGTCTTCAAAGCATGTATCTAGCAAGCTTCAGTGTTGTGGCAGAGCTCCTCTGTCCACGTATCTGTCTGTTCTCAAGAATCAGACTGAGCCTCTGTTTCCTGTGTAGTTGGAGCAGGCACTTAGGGAATATTTGTTGTATGAGTAATAGCTTATTTGGGGTGTCAAGCCCTTGGATATATTTATCTCATTCCATCCTCTCCTGGTCTAACATAATGGAGCAGGACAGACCCTGGCACCTCCACTGAAGCCATGCTAGGGTGTTCCTAGTAACTGTCCTTTGTTTTTGTGCCTGATGGGGTAGAGCCCCCACTAACTTGGCCTTTGTTGACTTTGCCAATCCCTCTTGACCAAGGCCTTAGCTTATCCAGTACTAGCCTCACCAGGACTAGAAAGAAGCCACTTTGCTGCTCAAGGTGCTGGAGTCGAGACTGTCTGCATGGGGAGAGGCCTTCACCGGGATGGTGTGGGCCATAGAGGGAGCTCCGCCTGGCCAGTTTCCCCTCAGCATGCTGAGTGAGTGCCAGTGAATGAGTTGTTTTTTTAACAGATTTGTTGGGGCTGGCAGGTGGTACGGTGGTTGAGGGTGCTGCACTCCCACATGGCTGACCGTAGTTTGAGTCTTTTGGACCTAGTGGCTTGCTTTCTCCCTTTCCTTTTCTCTCTCCCTCTCTCACTGTTCCTCTCTGGTCAAATTAAATAAATAAAGTTAAATAATTCTTTAAAAATAAAAAACAAAAAACAGATTTGTCAAGGTATAATTTAATTCAATAAACTTACGTTTAAAGTGTATACCTTCCTAGGGACCAGCAGATGGCATAATGGTTACATTGCTGGTCTCCCACACAGCAGACCATCGTTGTTCGAGTCCCAGACTATTGGCTTAAATCTCAAGCCAGGTGTGAGTGTGAGTGTGTGTGTGTGTGTGTGTACCCAGGATCCCAAGAGGAGAATGGAGGAAAAGAGATTGCAATATACATGGCCATTCCCCATCGGGGGGTGGGGGGGGTTGATTTCTCACTTTCTCTCTGTCTCTCTCCGTCTCTCTAGTGAGTACACCTACTCTATAGCAAAATCCCTTAAATAAAAAAGTATACCTTCCTAAAGATCTATTTATATATATAAGGTATGCATGCTCAGGAAAACATTGCCTCAATCAAGTTAGTAACCATTTTTAACACCTTAAAAGGTTTCCTTGAGCTCCTGATGATCTTTCCCCACACTCACCGCACCACCAAATAACCACTGATGTGCTGTCACTGGTTAGTCTGCATTTTCTAGAGTTTTGTACAAATGTGATCACACTAAAAATGTAGACATTTTTGTCTGGCTTTCTTTCAGTATAATTATTTTGACATTCACATCGCAAGCATCAGAGGTTCTTATTTTCTTTGCTGAGTAATAATGTACGGACATACTATAAGGAGTGATTCATTCTCCTGGTGGACATTTGAATTGTTTCCAGTTTTAAAATTTTATTCATTTTTATTTTTTATGTTTTTAGTTTTGCTATGAGTCTCAAGTACTCGCCAGAGAGAGAGAGATAGTGAAAAAAAATCACTCCTCCCAGAAGGGATGGCCACATCACAATCCCTTCTCCTTAAATCTCCTCTTGGGATTTTGGAAATGCATATACATGCGTCCGGCAATATTTCTAAGCAGCCAGGTCTAGGACTTGAACCATGAGGTTGGTCATGTAGAATCCATCCATCTTTTAAATTCCATGCCACCTGCTGGCCCTGAGTTGTTTCCAGGTTTTATTTTTTTTAAATATATATCTATATATTTTTAACTAAATTATGTGTTATTATTTTTAATTTGCTATTAAATCTCTCACACGAGTGAGAGAGAGAGAGAACCCGAGAAAAAACAAGCCACCAGGTCTGGGACTTGAACTGCAGTCAGCCATGTGGAAGTTCAGCACCTTAATGACATGCCACCTGCTGGCCCAGTTTCCAGTTTCTTAAACTGCTCTCTGGTGCAGGCAAGATTCCCCACGTGCCCTGCCAGGTGCAAGAGAGAGTCTTAGTGTGCTGGACTCTTCCAACCCAGCACACTTAAACCCAAACCAACACAGCTCAATTTGAATTCTATCTATTGGGCTTCTTCCTACAGTAGCATTAAGTCATGCTTTGGACTGGAGCATATCTGGATTTAAATTCCAAATTCTTCCACCTTCACTTTATAACTGAAAACCCTTGGGAAAGTTCCTGAATCTTTCTTGCAACTTAGCTTCCTCATTCTGAAGATGGAGATCATAATGGTACCTACCCACAGTGACTATTGTGAGGATAAAACAAGATCATCACATACCTAGTTCTTGATAATAGCATTCTCCAAAGAAAACTTTTTATTTGACAAAAAAATTTCACAATTAAACCACTCGATGTTTGAAAACTGAACTTTGAAAAACATGAGCTCTAGATCCTTTCAACTCTGGCAACTATGAAAAGTAAAAATGGGAGCTCAAGGATTGTGCTGTGTGGGAGGTGAGCGGTTGTTTGGGTCACCACCCTCCCCATGACATTCTCTTTTAATTAGTGCCAGTCTTTTAAAAAGCCAAGTCTGTAATTTCTTGGGAGTGTCCATCAGAGCTGCTTTTAGATTTCTGTGTCTTTAGGGCCTGTGGCCTCTTAGTTCAAGTGGACACGTTTTCAAATCTGCTTCCTAAGAGAAGGAAAACCTGCATGCTGTTCACTGGCAAATCCCATTACCACCACCACCAAGAACCTTGAAATAAAATATCAAAGACTCTGGGGCCAAGGGGGCCACCTCCCATTATTCTCCTTATCATTGGCTCCTTGGATCCTGATCCTTTTTGGATCCTGATTCTTTTAGAAACACAGATCCCCAGGTATCTAGAAGCAGATCTTATCTTCAATAAGAACACGGGCTCTGCAGACAGTCTGTTTCCCCTCTGTGTAAACTTGAGCAAGTCCTTTAACTGTCCAGGATCTCAATCTTCTCATCCTAGTGGTGAGAATATCAACAATAATATCTTCTTTTTTTTTTTTTAAATTCTTGAGAGGTTTTTGCGTGTGCTCGCCAGAAAGAGAGAGACAGAGAGACAGAAAGCAAGAAATCATCCGTAGGGGGGATGGCCACTCCACAATCCTTCGTTCTCCTCTCAGGATCTTGGGCACGTGTGCACATGCGCCCAGTGTGAGTTTAAGCCATTGGATCTGGGACTTAAACCGCAGTTGACTACATGGGAGTCCAGCGACATAGCCATTATGCCAACTGCTGGTCCCAATAATACCTTCTTGTGAAATGAAGTTGTGCAGGTGCACAGAGGGTGCTCAGTGTGGCTATATTTATTACCATAATAGGCTCTTAGCAATGGAGAGGACCTAGCTGGTCACCCAGCCTGTC